GGCTGAGATTACAGGCCTGTGCCATCAGGCCCGAGAGGCAGCCCGATTTCCGAGTCTGACCTGGACGGTGGTCACAATCTGACTACATGTCTTCTTGCTGAGACAGCAAGCGGATATGCCAGTGAGGCTCATTTTACAACTAGAGCAGTGTTGCTATCAGCCTGGTATGGGGTCGGAATGCCAGCAGCTTATATACTGATTATACAATTGCACACCCTGAAAACATTGTCCGTTTGCCTTAGGTGAGGTGTGGGTTTGGGCAGTCGCACATGGGTGGTCCTCTGGTTCAGGGGCACTGAGTCCTGAGAGGTGGGCTGGAGCCCTGGCTGCTGTGTAGAGTTTGTCTCCCATGCTCATTTCCTCAGTATTACATGGGAAGAAGGAGGGGCGACTCAGGGCTCCCCTCTCAACACCTGTGTTGTTTGTTTGTGTTTGTCCCAGGTCACTCTCATCCACTCCAAAGTACAGTTGGCCGACCAGGAGCTCCTGCCCAGTGTGCGGCAGGAAGTAAAGGAGATCCTCCTCCGGAAGGGCGTGCAGCTGCTGTTGAGTACGTGTGACAAGCCCCTCCTGTCCAGCCCCCACCTGCTGATACACTGCCCGTGGCCCAGCCGTGCCGCCGGTTGGGGCTGTAGCCGTGGTTCATCCGCTCAGGCTCCCCTCCTTCCCATTGTATCCAGAGAGCATCAGAAGTCTCAGACGTGGGAGCCTGCTTGAGCTGTATGCAGCGGGAAGTCAAAGTCACAGGGCTAGCGGGACCCGGCTGTAGTTAGGCACAACGACAGATAGGGGGTGCTATTCACTGGCTGACTAAAGGATCCGCCCCATGTTTTCATTTTTCCTGTCTCTGTGGAAGATGGAACTGGCATGCAATTTGAGGCATCGAGGGTGACTTTTTTTTTTTTTCCAGTCTCTGTGTGGCCCTGGCTGTCCTGGAACTCACTCTGCCTCTGCCTCCTAACATTCCACCTGCTTCTGCAGCCTGAGTGCTGGGACTAAAGACTAAAGGCATCCATCCCCACCTCCCTGATTTTGGGTGTGACTTTTTTTTTTTTTTTTTTTTTTTTTTTTGTCTAGAGCAGGAAGAGAGAGAAGCTCCTACTATTTGGAGTGGGATGGCACCTGCGTGTCCCCTCTGTGTTCTGTGCAGAAGGGTATGAGGCAGTTGCTGTGGAAGCCCCACTCAGCTGTCACAGCCTCCTTTGGTGACTGGTCCCCGAGGACTAGAAACACTTTCCTTTCAAATAGATCCTCTCACTTTCTCTGCCTTTTGCCACGTACCCATCCATCCATTCATCCATCCATCCACCTGCCTGTCCATCCATCCATCCATCCATCCATCCATACATCCATTCATCACCCATCCACCCACCCATCCATCTAACCTACCCATCTATCCATCCACCCACCTGTCCGCCCACCCATCCATCCATCACCAATTCACCCATCCATCCATCCATCCATCCACCCACACATACATACATACATCTATCCACTCATCCATCCCTTAAAATAATTTTATGTGTGCGGATTTTTGCCAATGTACATGTCTATGTACCATGTACGTGCCCAGTGCCTCTGGAGGCCAGAAGAGGATATTATTAGATCCCCTTGAACTGGAGTCACAGACGGTTTTTAGCCTCTATTTAGATGCTTGGAATCAAATCTGGGTCTCCTGGAGGAAAAAGTCCTCTCTCCAGCCCCTTCATATATTTTTATTTATTTATTTTAACTTTTGAGAGAGAGTATCTCATGTAGACCAGGTCGGCCTTAAACTGTGTCAGCAAGGAGGACTGAATTTGTAATCCTCCCGCCTCCTTTTCCAGAACACTGGCATACACACTATACATAGTTTTTCGGGGCTGGGTATAGAACACAGGACTTTCTGCACATCTTGCAAGTACCCTACCAACTGGACGCTTTCTCTGCTTTCTGGTCTGTGCTATACTAGGGGCCTTCCGCTTAGACGGGACAAACAAGCTGCCCTTCGGAACAGGATGGGGCCCTCTGTTGAGTAGCGTTTCCTAGAACTTGGGAAGCTTGATTTCACTTCCCTTCAGCAGCTTCCGGGAACTTTCCTCCAGATGGATCCCGTGGGGTCAGCTGTCCACATCCTGCTGTGTGGTGGTGGGGCGGGAGAGCGGACCAAGGGGGAGAGTCACGAGGGGAGTGATCACTTTCCCCGTGGTCTGCCTTGGTGTGTGCCAGCTCCCTGTCTCGGACCCCTCCACAGGCGAGCGGGTGAGCAACCTGGAGGAACTGCCTCTCAGTGAGTTCCGGGACTACATCAAGGTGCAGACGGACAAGGGCACGGAGGTGGCCACCAACCTGGTGATCCTGTGCAACGGGATCAAGATCAACAGCTCTGCTTACCACAGTGCCTTTGGTGAGTGCGTGGCCCAGGCGTAGCTGCCCCCGAGCCGCCTCCTTTCTCTCTAGCATCCGGAGACACACCACAGCCCTTCCCACCTGAACCGGCACCCTGTCTCCTCTTATCCCATAGATCTTGAACTTTAAGTTTAGGCGAGAGGCCCTGCCTGCTCAGCTTGGAGGCCACAATCTTCTGAGGTTAAGGGCTTCCACCTAGTGGACCGAGATGGAAGCAGGCTTCAGAGTGGGGAGAATGGCTTCCCTTCCTGATGCTTCCCGTAAGGAAGCTGAGGAAGTCCCAGGTCAGGCTCTCCCCCTCCGTAGATAGGTGTGCTGCTCTCTCCAACCCCAGACCTCAGCACCTGGTACTTCAGTTTCAGACCTCCGTTCGGGGAGGGTGGGGACCGTAACATGGCCTCATCTCTTAAAGCTCAATATCCAGATGCCAGAGGGACAGACGGTGGACCGATGTGTGTTTAAGCATCTACATGACAGTGAGACTCAGTGGCCAAGCCCCATGGTTGCGCTGCATCCCCAGGCACCTGTCACCAATGGCTGAGTACCCTTTTCCCGACCAGTCTCTGCCCGATCCAGCAGGAAGTTAGTTTTCAGTCTAGAAGGAAGGTGGCCCACAGGGGTAATGGAGAGAGCACCCAGTTTACTATGGATGGGAACTTCAGGCAGGATGAGCAGCCGGTGGGCATGTCACTTCCTAGCACGCGTCTCTGAAGTGACTGGACCCACACCCGGGACTCGTCCCACTGTTCCGGAGGCAACTTAACAAGGCTGCTCGGGGGTGTCCTCTTGCCCAACAGAGAATAGACTGGCCAGCAACGGTGCTCTCAAGGTGAACGAGTTCCTCCAGGTGGAAGGGTACAGCAACATCTACGCCATCGGCGACTGTGCTGATATCAAGGAGCCCAAGATGGCCTATCACGCTGGCCTGCACGCCAACATTGCCGTGGCCAACATCGTCAACTCCATGAAGCAGAGGCCCCTCAAAGCCTACAAGCCAGGTACTGAAAGCTTGGGCATTTGGCAGTTGTTAAGTTTGGGATGGAAAGCTTAGGCATTTTACAACTGTTAAGCTTGGGATTAGATATACGGAAGGCTTTGGGAGCTGTAAGATGAATGGCCGCTAGACTGCGGGTCACTTCACAGTCTCTTTAAAAGCAAATGTGTTATTGGGCTGTAGCTCAGTGGTAGAATTCTTGCCTGGCATGAACTGAGGCCCTGGGTTTCATCTTCAGCATTGCTAACAGAGGTGAAGAGATGGCTCAGATGCGCTATCAAGGACCCTAGTTTGATGCCTAGAACACATTTTTTTGTTTGTTTGATTGTTTTCAAGACAGGGTTTCTCTGTGTAGCTTTGGAGCCTGTCCTGGCACTTGCTTTGTAGACCAGGCTACCCTCAAACTCACAGAGATCTGCCTGCTTCTGCCTTCTGAGTGCTGGGATCATAGGCGTGTGCCACCTCCACTCGGTTCTAGAACACAGGTTTTAAAAACAAAAAGCCAAAAAAACCAAACAAAGAAACAAACTAAAAAAAAAAACCTGGGCATCATGGTTAGTAAAAGATCCAGTCTTAAAAAATAAAAATAAAAAAAGTGACTGTTTCCTGAGGAATGACAGCCCGGATTGTCATCCTCTGGTCTCAACATGTTTCCACACACATGTACACATCATATGCCACACAAGACATGAACATAGGCGCACATAGGCGCACCCACATACCCAGACATCTGATTTGCTTTCTTAAACACGCACTGTTGCTCGTGGACTCTGAAAGCTTCATTCGTGGCTGCATCTCTCAGGTGTCCCCTTGCTTTGTGTGTTTGCCCCCCAGGTGCACTGACATTCCTCCTGTCCTTGGGCAGAAATGACGGCGTGGGCCAGATCAGTGGCTACTATGTAGGCCGCCTCATGGTGCGACTGGCCAAGAGCAGGGACCTCTTCATCTCCACGAGCTGGAAAACCATGCGTCAGTCACCACCATGACAGGGAGGCTGCGTGGGAGCTGAGGTACTACTCAGAGGGGTGACAGACTGACCGACCAAGGACATCCTCCTGACAGTTGCCAAGAGCAAAAGCTCTTTGGATCATGGTGTCAGTCGTGTGCTGGCTGGAAATACAACTTGTATAAAGCCCGAAATGAGAGACGGAGAGTAAAGGGGGAGACATTAAAAAAGAAAAAAAAAAAAGCCCTAGAAGATTCTTTCTGAATTTGGAAGGTCTGCTTGCAGCTGGGCTAGCTAAAGGGTCTTGGGGAGGCAGAGGCGGCTTTCTGTGCTATAGGCTTCTGTCTGTGTGTCCATGTGTGCACACGGATGCATAGGGCTTTAGGCTTAGTGTGCAGAGCTCCTGTAGGGCAGACCTGGGCTCCTCTAGCTAGTGTCCTGTCTGTAGTATAGTAAGTAAAGCCCACGGCGTGAGACCAACTAAAGAAAGAGTGTTGGCGTGGGGAGATGGCCTGTACCTTGAGTCCCTCCTCACTTGGGGTGGGGAAGCTCATAGGTCCCACAGGAAGTAGGTTAAGTAGGGGCCTCATTAATAGGGGCCTCATTTTATTCTCCCAAACTAGTATCTGCACTCTGCTCTCTCTTTCTTCTCCCCCTTCTCTCCCTTTCTTCCCCCCCCCCCCAACACTCTTTCCCTCTCTCTCTCCCTCTCTCTCCAGTGTTGGCCTTGAACTCCTGAGCTCAGGTAATGTTCCTGAAACCCTCTTTAACCTTCATGAACCTTTATCTCCATATTTATCTGACTGTAAGTCACAGGTACATTTACAGAGAGACAAAGTTCCCCTCTAGCTAGTCCATCTGTTGCTGAAATCTCTTCCCGGCGTGGGGGTGGGGGCATATAAACAACATCTATCCGCATCTCCTAAGGAAGGTTCCAATGACAAACCGAGGCACGATTCTGTCACACTTTACTCTGGGGAACCAGTGAGTTTATTGGGGTTCCTTATATAGTATCTGAGGGGTGTGAGTGCTTCTCCCCACAACAGGCCAAGCCTGGAAAACTTTAACCAGCAGGCATGAGGGTTCCATAGCTACGGGGCAGCATAAGTGGACCACCTTTCTCCTAGCCTTTCCTGGCCTATATGCTCAATCCACTCGTTGGGTCCACATGCAATTAAGGCAGCGTTGCATACAACAGGTGGTAGGGAATTCACAGGCAAGGGTCTCCTGCCTCCCCACCGTTCCACGAGGGGATAAAAACCATCAATAAGGCCAGCTGGGACAGTCCTTTTAAAGGGGGGAGCAGCTGAGCCCGTTGATGGCGGTTGCTTGGCTCTGAGAACAGCCACTCCAACACCATGCTAGCAGGGTGAGGTTTATAAGGCTGGAGGTGCTAAGACAGAAGCCTGGCTTGCCACTGCTGTAGGAATCCCAGGACGGTGATCCGTGACTCGGGGAGGGTACTGGATGCTTGATCTTCAGAGACTGGAGGGACAACTGTGGACGATTCCTAGTGATTTCCAGGTTACCCTCACAGGCTGCTGCTGGGGCTGGGAGATAGGGAGCGGGGGTGGGGAGCTATGCTGCTGATTTCCCCGCCAGCTCTTGTCACTTGGGTCCTCACTGGCCATCATGTCTACTACAGAAGGCTAAGGTACACGAATGACTTCTCTATCCAAGTGAGCTCGCCCAGGAGGGAAGAGCTGCTGGTGCATGGCCTAAATTGAGTGCCTATACCAGAAGAGACCGGGAAGCCACTCCAGTAGATTCAGGCTTGGCTCTCTCTGCTCTGCCTCTTCCTGTTTGCTTTTGGCCTTGGCCTCTGCTTACAGGTGGCAGAGTCCTTGCCCAGCCTCCCTGGCACTTCCAGTCCATTTGGGCTGTTGCTAAGGTCTGTTCTGTTCAGTTGCACAGGCTGGGGCTAAGACTTAAGTCTCTCCCCAGGGAATCATGACCCACGGGCAGTTTTGTCCCCAGCTCTGCTGTTGTGGATGCTAGCCAGCAGGCTCACCCTCGCTGAAGGCAGGACCGAACACCCGCAGAAAGCCCGTCATGATGCGGGCTGACCAGGAGCCTTAGAAAGCATAGTGGGATGCTAGGGTGACAGGCCTTGTGCAGTTTCTTTACAACACCCTGGAAGAATCTACCCGTGGAGACAGTCAAGAGGAGGAAATATGGCAATAAAGGGATATGTTATAAGAAAGACACTGGATCTTTTATTTTTTTTTCCTTTCATTTTTCTTTTTCTTTAAAAAAAAAACAAAACCGAACAAACAAAAATCCCAAGGCAAAACCCTTTTAGGTGTAGTTACAAATATTTTAGGGGGTCAGGGAGGGGACCTATTACAGAAGAGAAAAGCACCCTAGGACGTCTTTCCCATCTTCTCTCCACTGAGGGAGACAGCCAGTACACCCAAGTGGCTGTCATGCCCTCCTGACTTGGAAAAAGGAGGAACCAAACACTTAAGAACTTTGAAAAGACTTGTGTGTGTGTGTGTGTGTGTGTGTGTGAGAGAGAGAGAGAGAGAGAGAGAGAGAGAGAGAGAGAGAGAGAGTAAAAGTCAATGCTATAAATCTAAACAAGGTCTATTTTTATGTTTGTTTGTTTTTTTAAAAAAAAAGTTCTAAAACAACAGGAAGAAAACACATGGGAAAAAAACCCTTGGTGGAGACCTGGTTAATTTCGGAAGAGGCCTTTTTGTAAAGAGAATATAAAAAAATGCGCTGGGCCCCTTCCCCAGGCAGTCAGGCCCTGTTCCGCTGCCTCTGCTCCCCTCTCAGCCGCCCTCCGCTCCCCTGCCACGTCACCCGTCCTCAATCCTTTTAAAAAATAAAACCCCCACTCTGGAGACGTGACCCTGACTCTCCCCACTGGAGAGCTACTTGGTGTCCAGTTTGGCCATCTCCTGTACGTAGATGCCGATGCTCTCGCTGTCAAACAGCAGAAAGTACACATTCTTCAGCGAGGACGTGCTCGAGTCGTCGAAGTGGGCTGAGATGGCCTTGAGGGTCACCTGGGCGGCCGTCTGTTTGGGAAAGCAGTTTCTATGACCAAACGAAAGAAGAGCCCGCGTCATTTCAGTTCCTGTACCCACTGCTGTAATTCTTTCTTAGCTTGGGGAGAGGGAGATTGGTTTCTTTTTGTTTTTGTTTTGAAAAAGGGTCTCACTAGGTAGCCCTGGCTAGCCTGGAACTCACTGTGCAGACCAGGCTGCCCATGAACTCGGTGACCTGCCTGCTTCTAACTTCCAGAGTGCACGGATTAAAAGGATGTACCACCACACCCTGCTAACAGTTTCTTCTCATTCCGGCCCTGGACCCTTGTTTGTATGGTGTGGAGCTCACCAAGCACAGGGCCAGTTCACAAGTCACTGGCACGAGTCCAGGGGAGGACACAGGTTGGTGGAGACGTCCCTGCTACACACTAACCACATAGGAAAGAATGCTACATACTTTCAGTCAAGGTCACAGAGCTGGTACATAAAGGATGTCCCAAATTTGAATCTGTGTCAGCCGGCTCAAGGATAAACTCTACTGATTTCACATTTATAAGACCATGTCTTCCAAAAAGCAAACTTTTTTTTTCTCCTTCAAACCAGATTATCCGACAAGGGCCTTTCATAATTGCTGGGGCTGGGGCTCAGTTGGTCAATGTTTGTGCCTAACATTCTGGGTTAGGTCCCCCAGTATCACATGAAGCAGGCAGATGTCTGAAACAAACATAGGGCATGATGCGGGAATGGCTTGGTGGGGAAAGGGCTTGCCACACAAGCTTGTGACCTGAGTTTCTCAGAGCAAATACAATGAGGCTGGGCATGGTGATAATGTCTGTAACCCCAAAGACAGGTAGATCCCTGAGACTGGCTGGCCAGTCAGCCTAACCTGATTGGTTAACTCAAAACCAATGAGAGAGTATTTTTAAAAAAAGGTGGTAAGCCCACCAAGGCAGCATGTACTTTTACTGTGAGAGGCAGAGGCAGGCAGATCTCTCTGAGTTCAAGGCTAGCCTGATCTACATAGTGAGTTCCAGGGCAGTCAAGGTTACATAATGAGACTCCCTCCACCCCCCTTTTTTCTTTTTGGTTTTGGTTTTTCAAGACAGGGTTTCTCTGTGTGGTCCTGGCTGTCCTAGAACTTACTCTGTAGACTAGGCTGACTTCAAACTCAGAGATCTGCCTGCCTCTGCTGGAATTAAAGGCCTGGGCCACTGACCTCCAGGCCAGACGCTATCTCAAACAAAGAAGCAAAAAAAAAAAAAAAATCCTCAAACCAAAACAACAGCAACAAAAACTCAAGGTGGTGGGGTGTGGTAATACAGTCAGCACTCAGGAGACTGTAGGCAGATCTCTCTGAGTTTAAGACTAGCCTAATTTACATTGTGAGTTCCAGGCTAGCCAAGAGACATAGTAAGGCCCTTTCTCAAAACAAAAACAAGATGGGTATCTTAGTCATTCAAGAGGAGAAACCTCAGTTGATGAATTTCCCAGATCAGATTGGCCTGTGGCCATGTCTGGGAGGGATTGTCTTGATTGATGATTGACATGGAAGGGCCCAGCCCACTGTGGGCAACACCGTTTCTTAGACAGATGATCTTGGGTTGTATGAAAAGAGCTATCTAAGTAGAAGCCAGGGAGTGAGCCAGCAAGCAGCATTTGCCCAAGGTTTCTTTCTTTCTTTTTTTTTTTTTTTTTAGATGAATGTTATTTTATTTTTGGATGGGAACATACTTTTCTTGAATCCACTTGCAACTGAACAGTAACAACAAATGTCACTTACTGGCAATTTTTATGTAATCTTTGCTGTAATCACTAAACAGAAATTTGTTTGTCTAAATAATATACATTTTCATTATGGCTATCTTTCATGACAAGATGGTGGTGAACTTTTTATGGTTAACATGTATAACATTGATAAGTCTACTAAAATTAAGGAAGTTATTTATCAATTGTTATGGAAGAACTTGTAATTAGTTCCCAATTGATTTGCCCAAGGTTTCTTTATCAAACTCTTGCCTTTAGTTCCTGCCTGACTTTGACGATGGACTGTGACCGGGAAGTGTAATGCAAACAAATGCTTTGCTCCCCTAAATTACTTCAGGATAGAATGTGTTATCACAGCAACAAGAGTGTTAATCGCCTGAGGAATGACATTGGTCTCCACACACACGTACACATATGACACACATGTGTACCCACACACACACATAAAACTAAAATGCTACCTGGCTTCACCCATAGTATCTTTCTGTTCTGGGCAGGAGGGCTGGCCCTAGGCTATGGAGATTTGCCATCCCAGGCCAGGGGCTTGTCTCTGTTCAAAAGGTAGGAAATTGGGCTTCTTTCTCTGTTGTCTACCGAACCTGCTGGCTGTGCAGACAGGCCCTGGCTGTGTCTTCTAGAATGGGCTGATGGAATGTGGCCATGTTAGCGAGTAGCTGGTTTGTTGGACCAGAAAGGCTGAGGACGTCAACTAAGAAATGGTGTCCTACCTGCCACTGGGGAAAGGCGGGAAGGCGACGGACTTGAGCTTCTTGTCCTCGGCGGCGGACAGGCAGTTTTTGATGGTCTCTTCCAGCTGCTCTTCACATTTGTCGGAGCCCCACTGGGGGATGTGACAGTGGATGACAAATTTGGCTGCGAGTCCACTGGATTGGCTGACGGCAGCTGGGACACAGGAAAGGGAAAGGCAGAAGGTTATTTCCCGAGTCCCACCTTAAAGCTGGGTGACGATCCTGGGCCTCACAGGTAATCCTGTGAGATCCTGGAGGACGAGGAAGTGAAAGTGGGGGTGGCTGGACCCCTCCCTGCCACCGTGAGGAGAGTGTGGCAGGATGTGAGCTCTGGTCAGAAACCCTAGTCTGGGTGTTGATGAGACAAGTTTATCATAGCTGGTGACCCGTCCCCAGGCCCCGGGTCAGGAACCACCTCAGTGGATCCTAGCGACAGGAACATATCAGAATCACATCTGGGGCTGTGGGAGGTTGAGTAACGGCCATTCCAAATGTCTGAATCCCAGGGTTCCCTGACATGGCCGAGGGTACTTTGTGACTGCAGTTAAGGATACTGGAGATGGACTGCCAAGGTTGCCATACTGGTTAGTTTTGTTGACTTGCCATGACACCAGGGTTAAAGGTGTGTGCCATAGTGCCTGGCTTTTTTTTTTTTTTTTTTTTTTAAGTTTTTCAAGACAGTGTTTCTCTGTGTAGCCCGGGCTGTCTTGGAACTCACTCTGTAGACCAGGCTGTCCTACAACTCAGAGATTTGCCTGCCTCTGCCACCCAAGTGCTGGGATTAAAAGCGTGCACCACTACCACCTGACAAGGTTTAATTAAAAAATGTTTTTATAGGGATGGGTATTTGCCTGTCTGCATGTCTGTGTATTGTATGTATACAGTGCCCAATTAGACCAGAAAAGGGCAAATCCCTGGGCCTGGAGTTAAATATGGCTGTGAGCCACCATGTGGGTGCTGGGAACTAAACCCAGGTCTTCTGGAAGAGCAGCCAGTGCATTTAACTGCAGAGTCATCTCTCTAGGCCCTCCTATCTTTCTTTCTCTCTTTTTTTTTTTTGTTTTTGTTTTTTTTTTTTTTGTTTTTCGAGACAGGGTTTCTCTGCGGCTTTGGAGCCTGTCCTGGAACTAGCTTTGTAGACCAGGCTGGTCTCGAACTCACAGAGATCCGCCTGCCTCTGCCTCCCGAGTGCTGGGATTAAAGGCCTTTCTTTCTCTTTAAAATATTATTTTATTTTATGTGTAAGGATGTTTTGCCTACATCTATGTCTGCACTGCCTTTAGAGACCAGAAGATGGCATCAGATCCCCTGGATCTGAAGTTATAGACAGTTGTGATTTGCCATGTGGGTGCTGGGAATTGAACAATTCCTCTGCAAGAGCAATCAGTGCTCTTAACCACCAAGCCATCTCTCTAGCTCCTTCCTTCCTTTCCTTCCTTCCCTCCCTCGCTCCCTCCTTCCCTCCCACCCTTAGAGTTTCTATTGCTGTGAAGAGACAGACACCATGACCACAGCAACTCTTATAAAGAAAACATTTAATTAGCTGGCTTACAGTTTCAGAGATTCAGTCCATTATCATGGTGGGACATGGCAGCGTGCAGGCGGAAATGGTGCTGGAGCTGAGAGTGGAGAAGGAGCTACATCTTGATCTAGCAGGCAACAGGAGGTGGTCTGAGACACTGAGTGTGGCTTGAGCATATATGAGATATCAAAGCCCATGTCCACAGTGACACACTTCCTTCAGCAAGGTCATACCTTCTCCAACCAAGTCATGTATCCTAATAGCTACTCCCCGTGATTTTATGTGTGTGGGGGGGTGTTGTAAACTACCACATCCTTTCCCTCTCTCTTTTAAAAGAATTTTTATTCCCCTAAACATGGCCCCTGTTATTGACAGGCCTGGTGAAAACCATGGCTACTGAGGAATTTGAGGGAAGTCCCTGTGGCCATCAATCATCAGAAGTGACTTTTCTGTCCCCATGCTTGGTTGTGTCCTTCACTCCCAGTTCCTTTGACCATCTTTTCTGAGCCTCTGCCATGTATCTGGGCAGCCTGGTAAGAGATGCACAGTGTGACCCTGGGCTCTTGGCTTGGCTATAAATCTCTTCTTTCAAGGCCACACTGATATCTACATCACAGTGCACGTGGAGAGGCTCAGCATGGACTGGTCTGGCTTGGAGAACATGCATGGGGCACATGGGCCCCCAGCAGGGTCTGGCAGGGGCAGCTGTATAAGGGCCTGGACTGTAATTGGTCCTTTTACCAATTCTAAGAGGTAAACATTTTCCACTCGTTTTAGTATCTTTGAAAAGGTTCACACACAACCATCTGTAATGAGATCTGGTGCCCTCTTCTGGCCTGCAGGGATACATGCAGGCAGAACACTATACAGTGCCTGGCTTTTTAACGTGGGTTTTAGGGATGACATTTTCTGTTGTATGCAGTGACCATGTATGGGTGTGGGAGGCTGGAGACTGTAAGGGTTGAGTCAGGCTGAGACGTAGCCAGTCTAACACTTACCTTCCGCCACTTCCAAAGGGCCTTGGGATTTGCGAAGCTCCTTTACTGTTTCCAAGAACTCTTTACCCCCTGCCTTTTCCAAGGCTTTACCTACAAAGAACAATGGGGGCTGTGGTGAACGACTTTTCAACAGAGTCATATTGCTGGGCTTGTTAGTATGTCAGGAAAGTCTTAACCAAAGGTGCCATGTCCCATTTGTTACCCTGGTTTGCCAGTGGTCACTGGAGGCACCACGCAGAGGTCAGACTAAAGGATGACAATCCTTGTTAAAGGACACACACACACACTCACACACACGTCTCTTTTTTCTTGTGTTGCCCAGCATGCAATCTAAGACACTCCCCCTCTCCAACCCCCTCCCCAACAACCTGAGCAAATAATCTGCCACTGAACCACGCCCCAGCAAGGCAGAACACCCCAATGCGGAAAATCCCAAATCCAAACCTTTCACATGCCAACCCAACACGGCTCGTGCTAGATTCACAGAATAAACAGGCCATGGTGGCTCACATCTGTGTAAGAATTACACCAATTCTCAACCACTGCCGAGTGTGTAAGTTGAAGGGGCATCATGAGAGCTGGGTCCTCATGAAAGGAAATCTAAGGAAACACTGGTGTATCACTGGCCATGGACTCTCGTCCAGTTGTCTTTTAGTGCTGGGCACTGAACCCAGCAAACACTGCGATAGGGTCATGCCCCTATACAGCAATTCTCAATCTTCCTAACATTGCGACCCTTTAATATGGTTCCTCATGTCGTGGTGACTCCCAACCATAACATTATTTTCATGGCTATTTCATAACTGTCATTTTGCTACTGTTATTAATCATAATGTAAGTATCCGTGTTTTTCCGATGGTCTCAGGCGACCCCTGTGAAAGGGTCATTCTACCCCCAAAAGGGTCTCTACCCACAGGTTGAGAACTGCCCAAGACCCTATTTCTTGAGCCTGAATATCTTGAAGTCTCCAGATCTACCATTGATTTAAACAGATAAACAGGCAGAAACGTGTTTAGCGATACTGCAGACAACAGAATCCAGACTAGGAGAAAACTGGTCTTGCTTCTCAGCAAATAAACTGCAAAAAGGTACGGGAGTAGGAGAGGCCATGGGTTAAGAGACTTGCTCTCTCCTTTCATTTAGTGTGTGTGTGTGTGTATGTGTGTGTGTGTGTGCGCGCGCGCATGGGTGCACGTGTGTGTATAGGTCAAAGGACAACTTGGGTGAGTTAGTTCTCTTCTTCTACCAGGTGGCTCCCAGGGATCAACTCGGGTCATTAGGCTTGGTAGTGAATGTCTTTACATTTTAATTTTTGTGCTGCAGGCTGACTCTAGGGCTTCGTGCAAATTAAGCACAGGTTCTACCACCAAGCTACACTTGAATCCCCTAGCACAAGATTAAAAAGAAAAATAAACAAATCAGGGCCTGGGCTGGACAGGATAACTGGCTTGCATTGCTGGTGGTACAGGGTGGGCATGTGACGGCGTGCCTCCTAGTGATGAAGCAACGATAAAGATCTGTCTGTTCCAGAGTGGGCGTGAGCCGGTCTTTTATCTAGCCCTGTGCCATCTGGTCTTCAGACTGTATCCTCACTTACGGATGAGGAAACTGAGGTTCAGGGAGGTTAGGAAACACACCCGAAGTCACACAGCTAGAACAATCTGTAAGTGCCTGGAGAGAGACCAAGGTGACTCAGAGGTTGTTCTCTTGCCTGTCTGCTCTCAGTCCATCTCACCTCCTCTGACGGCCAAGAGGTCAGCCATAGGGGCCACCAGTGGGGTCCAAACTTGACTTTTTGCTTCCGCAACAGTGCACTTCACCCCACCCTACTTCAAAACAGAGAAGCATCTCTTTTGATGTTTTGGACATAAAGATGCAGAATTATGAGGATTGTCTGAAACAGGAACTTGCTTTGTGTGCACAGAAAGGACATCAAGCTAAACAGAGCTGAAGATTCGGCCACTAGGGAAAACCCTTCCACAGCGGGGAGAGCGTTCCCAAAATCAGAGCCTGAGATTCGGCCACTAGGGGGAGCTCTTCCACACTGGGGAGAGCCTTCTTAAGGGGGAAGGCAACGTGAGGGTCTGTGGCATGTACACAGGGGAAGAAACAGGACTGTTTTTGTAGTTCTGTTATCGCCCAATGCCACCCCACTGACTTTCAAGCATAGCAAGTGGCCTCTGGTGCCAGAGACACAGTGAGCCCAGCAGTCTGGGGCCACCACCTCGGGCTGAGCTGCTAGCAATGGCTTCGAACCACTCACCCCAGGCCCAGCCCTGGATCCCAGGGTCGAGGCCTTTTTTTTCCCACCCCATTTAGCCTTTCAGTGGAGTGTTTAAAACAGTTTTGTATTTGAAAATGGGCAATGTGGCAACAAATGAACCGGAGAGTGGCCACGATGTGTGCTGTTGTTTCTCATGCCTTGGACAGTTTGTCAGCCCCCCTTCTCAGCCCCTTTACCTCACTGCTTACAGCTTCCTCCTCAACTCCTGGGGTTGGCACAATAAATGCAGCCTTATGATTGCTTAGTTCCCCCCTCCCCCTTCTTTGAGACAGGGTTTCTCTGTAGCTTTGGAGCCTGTCCTGGAACTCACTTTGTAAACCAGGCTGGCCTTGAATTCACAGAGATCCACCTGCCTCTGCTTTGCTTAGTCCTTTCTACATGCCCTTTATCTTTTTCGGGGGGAGATCATAACCCTTCTGTCTGCTTTCTGAGGGCAGAAATTACAGCGGTGTACCCGCTAGTTCCCATGTCTCTGTCTCTTTCCTCTTCACCAATAGCATTCTCGACATGTGAACTTAAAACGCATGTCAAGTTCAATCCAAAGCTTGTGCAACCATGTTTCGAGCAGCAGCGCTCAGGATGGCCCCGCGTGAAAATGACCCAGGTGCTTTCATCAGTGCAGAATGAAACCCACGCTGTGGCACACTCATGCCGTGAAATACCACACAGCCAAGACAATAAACAAACACGCTCAGTAGCTCGGGTGGATTTTGCAGACGCTAAGTTGCGCTAAGGGAGCCAGGCACAAAGAGCATGTAGGGCCATTTAAACAAAACCCAAACCAAACCAAGCACTTCTGCGCTGTTAGAAGACCTTTTTCTTCTAGAGGAAATCAGGATCCGGGGTGGGGCCGGAAGGGTCCACTTACCTATGTGCTGGTTGCACAGGGGTCTTCACCTGGCGCTTTGAGACAAGGTCTCGACATAGCTTAGGCTAGCCTCAAACTCCCTATGGGGTCAAGAACAATCTTGAATTTCTGCTGCATCTGCCTCCGCCTTCTGAATGCCGCTACTACACATGTGATACAGAACACCTGGTTCATGGTGTGCTAAGGACTGAGCCCAGAACTCTGTGCACGCTAGGCAAGGACTCGAACCTGCTGAGTTCGGTAACTTAGAGAAAATGTCGTCAAGTTGTACACAAACTGTCTGTCTCCATACAGCACCCTAAGAAAAACTTGACAAAATTTGTGTAGATTCCAAGCAAAGCCTGCTCCTCTCTGGTGAGACCATTTTATCCCACAGAGAGAGAGACATTTCCACATGGGATCTCAGACAGAGGATGACACAGTCCATGAGAACTGGACAGTGGGCTATGCCATGACCCCTCTCTAAACCCCGGACCTTACCTATCTCTTCCTTGAGGTCGATTTCGGCTGTGGTTGGGTGGACGATGCCCTCCACCCTCATAGAGCCAATATGGCTGATGTCACTTTGGGTCAGGGATAGCTGCAACAGGAAGAGAAGACAGAGATCAACTCCCACTGAAAATCATTTTATTTTCCTCAACTATTCAGGCTGACGCTCAGCACAGGGGCTCAAATTCCCAGATACTTGTTTGTTTTTGAGACAGGGCCTTAGGTATCTTAGGCTGGTCTTGAGTTCAAGTCGATTCTTGCCCCCACCTCCTACTGCTGGGATTGAAGGCCTGAGCTGCCATGCCAGGCATCCGGGTGTTTGCTTTTGGGCAGATCCGTTTGAGTTTGGGAGCTCTTGAGACTAGCAGAGTGCAAATAGCCAGCCTCCACTGTCAGGAACAGAAATGGGCTCCCCCTTCCTCTCTCTTTCCCTCATCACTTATGTGTCTTTTGTTCCTAATCCTGTGGCCTTGGTCTCCATGGACACATCCTCCCAGAGGCTGTGTGTGGGAAGCAGCCTGAGGCCTGTTTTCTTCTCACCCCTGAGAGAGTATAGAACATTTGGGGAGGTCATGTGGAATGGGGTGAGTAGACTCTGGGTTCCCACCCTGCCCTCATCTGTGACAATGCCTCCTCCCCAATCTTTTGGTGCTATGGATGCACTCAAGGCCTTGTGTATGCCAGGTGAGCGCTCTATCCCAACTACATCCTCTGCCCGAGTACCACATCCTTGTGTGGTTCTGGCAGAGCAGGAGGAAGAGTGTTTCTCATTGTTTTCCTCGCATGAGTGGGAACTTTCTGATTCTCTAAATACGGTTGGGGGAAAGTTCAGGGCTCTGGAGGGGACATACATCCCACCTCCTTGCATCTCAGTTTTCTTTGCACCAGAGACCTTGTGATCCCCGACTGTCTGGATGGAGATACACTTGTTCGGCAGGCTGAGAACAGGCAGCAACCGGAGAGCCAGCTCGCCGACTCACTGGCTACTTTCCTGTGTGTCTTATTCCAGCCCCGGCTGACTCGGGAGATAAACTGTCTGCTCAGTGAATTTGTCGCACATAGAGATGAATTATGATGCTGAGATGTTGCTGGAACCCATCCTGTTAGGTTTTTATTTTATTTTATTTTTTTTTTCTGCAGCTCAGGAAGGCAGGCAGACTGAATTATTGACAAATAACTCATTCCTAGCACCCAGCATATTCAAGAAACATGTATTGCTATTCTCTCCCTCTGTCAAATGACATTTAATCATGGAAGCTGGGCCTCTTCGATCCTGGCTGGGAGTTAGCAATGGATTTTTCTCATTGGGGGCAGACATAATTAGGGCTTGGGGATTTCCCAGCAGAACCAGGAATGCCATCCTATCCAGATTCTCTAGGATGACTTTAGTTGACCTTGGGTTGACCAGCACAAGTTCTCGGCACCAAAGGCCTAGTTTGCTCTAGAAAAGCCTACGTCACTTGGATTTCCCTTTAAAAATGGATAATTCAAGAGCAGGGTGGAAGGGAGGAAGGACAAAGGAGGCATGCCGGCCCGTAAACAGTGGGGTATACAGAAAGGCTCACTGCAGCTATTACCTTCTGCCCCAGAACGAGGCTCTTGGAAGACAGGATGGTGAAACCGTCCCCCGGTCCATCTTCTGAAGTGGAATTTGATGTTCCTTCCTTATCGCTGTCCTTTGGTTTGGACTGTGGGTAAAAACCAGAGGGAAAGATGAGAAACAGTCTGGAGAGGCCTCTTGGCTACTGCAGGACGGTATTTCCGTGGTGGCCATCCACTTGGGTGTGGAGGGAAGTGGTCAGGAGGTAAATTCTGGATGATTTGTTTTGCAATGACTGTGGGTATCCTGTGTTCTCTGCTACTGAGCTATACTCCTGGTCCCTCTCTGCCCCCTCCCCATCTCCCATCTCTTACCTTCCCTGTGGTACCACTGGGAGGTGATAGGGCATGGTGGAAGGAAGTCAGGCCGTCTACTGGGTGCCCTGGAAACAGATGCTGGGGCCCCAGTTTCTCCTCTTACAACTTCCTGGCTATCGTGCAATGAGCAGTTCTGTTCCTCCATACGCCATTGCCAAGATGTTCTGTCTGGATCTAGGTCCAGAGTATCGGGGCCAAGTAAATATGAACTTGATGCCTGTGACACCACGAGTCAGAGCGAACCTTTCTTCCCCAGAAGTTGAGTAGCTCAGCTATTTTGTCATAGCAATAACAACTGACTGGTGCAGGCAGGAAGAGGGATCCGAGGAACTGGGCGGTGGTGGTGCACACCTTTAATCCTACGGGACTCTGCATGTCTATGAGGGATATTTTAATTGTCATTAATACTGCCCACTGTGGGCAGCACCATTCCCTAGCAGGGATCCTGGACTGCATCAAATAGAAAAAGGGAGCTGAGTATTCATTTATGGTCTCTGTTGCCTGTCTGTGGATGTGGACTAGTGGCTTCAAACTCCTGCATAGCCCCGGCTGTCCTAGAACTCCCTCTTTCCAGGCTGTCTTCGAACTCAGAGATCCACCTGCCTCTGCCTCTCCAGTGCTGGGATTAAAGGTATGTGCCAAGCTCCAAACTCCTGCCACCTTGACTCATCCCACCCCTTAATGGATTATATCTTGAACTATCAGCCAGAATAAACTTCTCCCTAAAGTTGCTTTGGTGGGGGTATTTTATCTCAGCAGTGGGAAAGGGAACTAAGACAGACATTAATCTTGAACGAGAAGGATGGGTCTCCAAGATGTCACCACTGCTCAAAGGCCCCACCTCCTAATCTCGACCCTTAGGGGTTAGATTTCCATGGAGAAGCAGCATACCTACGGTAGTGGTAATACCTGGCAGCTGAATTACTCCGTGACTCACCTTTTTGGACGTCCGTGGCTTGGCGGCCTTGGATTTCTTACCCCCCTTCTTGCCCGACGCGGCCTTCCTTCCTCTTTTCTCTGGGGGTGGGGAGAGGATAGTTTCTGACTTTCCTTTGGTGCCTCGTTTTTTGGCCAGCAGTTCAGGGTGAATCCTCGGCAGGACACCCCCACTGGCGATGGTCACTCCTTTCAACAGCTGAGAGAGAGGTGCAAAGGGCTGGTCAGGTCTGTGCTGGCTAACGGGGGTCTCAGCACTGGCCAGACAAGACTTGAGACTGGCTTCTGCTTAACCAATAAAGCCAATTACCACGCAGCTACGGCTTTCTCGTCCTGCACGTGCAAAGCGTTTCTCAGTAGGTCTCAGGTGGTCTGCGTTGTTGCACAGAAAGCAAACAAGGCAAAATGAAAGGTTCAGAGAAGCTGAAACTGGGACGAGGCCCAGGGCTCTGGAATCTCAGATGGCAACCCTTGTGGAAGATTAGTTTAGATGGGTTACATCTGTTTATGCCGGGGAATGTTTGTTTAACGATACAAAGACGTACTGCGTTCTTTATGTTGAATTTGTTTAGCTCTGTGAAGCTGTGTTCCTTTGTCTGTCTAAAACACCAGAGTGGTCTAATAAAGAGCTGAATGGCCAATAGCCAGGCAGCAGAAGGATAGGTAGGGCTGACAGGTAGAGAGTCTAAATAGAAGGAGAAAAAGAGAGAGGATCAAGAAAAGGAGAAGGAGAGGAGGCTATCAGGGGCCAGCTACCCAGCTACACAGCAAGTCACAGAATAAGATCTGGAATAATCTGCGTATTTTAAACGAGAGGGTGGTGTGAAGCCACAGCTCATCTCTGGACCACTAGTCACCCATATGTGACCAGAGCACTGGCACTTTGAGAGTCTAGAAATGTCTACAGCAAACAGGCAGTTGCTACAGCACTATTGATTCGGCCAACAAGGGCTTGTGGGTTTTCGTGAGCATGACTTTGTTTCCCATTTTTCTCAGAACATAGATAAAAATTCTCGTGCTATTTACCCACCTGCTTGCCTGCTGTTGAGGAGGAAGGCATTCACTTGACTGCGAAGGCAATCAGTTCTACTGCATAAATAAGGAGTCTCCTGCTCAGATCCCAATGAAAATCCACAGGGTTGGAGTCAAGAAATGGCCAGGTATAGTACGTGTATGTAACAACTTGTATTTAATGATGAGACAAGGTCTTGAAAGCACGGCAGAGTGTGTTCGAGAGTGGATTTCATCTTGACTATGAATGCACAGCCATCAAAATTTTATTCTTTTTTTTACCTCGTTCTGGTGTGTGTGTGTGTTTGTGTGTGTGTGTTTGTGTGTGTGTGTGTGTATGTGCACGCACGAGTGCACAGGTGGGGCTAGGAACTATCACAGGAATGATTGAAGGCTGACTAGGTCCACCCAGGAACGTACCTGGCAACTCATGCCCCACCCAGCTGAGCCGAGGGCGCAGTCCTACCTGGTTGAGCTCCTCGTCGTTGGCGACGGCCAGCAGGATGTGTCTGGGGGCTATCCGGGCCTTCTTGTTGTCCCTTGCAGCATTGCCAGCCAACTCTAGGATTTCCGCTGAAATTACAAGGGAAACTTTAAAAAAAATTATTATTTTTTTTTTCCGAGAGGGTTTCTCTGTGTAGCCTTGGCTGTTCTAGAACTAGCTCTTGTAGACCATGCTGGCCTCGAACTCACAGAGATCTGCCTGCTTCTGCCTCCTGGGTGCTGGGATTAAAGGTGTGCACTATCATGCCTGACTTTACATCTCATTTTGCAACTTTTCTTTCTTCGTCACCTTTACCATTATAGTATCACTGTTACTGTAACGATTTATTTTATTTTTAATTAGAGTTTTATTAGACTTTCTCTTCAGTTGTGGAGAGATGATTCATTTGCTTTAAAAAGTGTTTCTGAGGGGCTGGCAAGATGGCTCAGAAGTTAAGAGCCCTGGCTGCTTTTCCAGAGGACCTGCGTTCAGTTCCTAGAATCCCTGTCTGGTAGGGTGGCTCACAATCTCCTATAACTCCAGGATCTAGCACCCTCTTCTGGCCTCCCTGTGGGATACACTCATATATGCGGTATAGTCACAGATGCATACATGAATAAAAACAGAAAACCCAATCGTTTTTTTTTTTAAGTATGAATAAGTTTTGTGTGCCTGTTTACAAATCCCAGCCCTTGGGTGACTATGCAGAAGGAGCCCAAATTCCTGGTCAGCCTGGGTTACACAGTGAGACTCAACAAACAAACAAACAAACAAACAAACAAACAGAGAAAACGAAAAATGAAAGAGTGAATTGTAATGAGAAAGTTATTTACTAGAAATATGGGGCCAGTGGGCCATCACATCTCACTGACAAGGGAAGGGCGCATGCGTTTGCACAAATGTTCTGTGTGGAGGTGTGCAGATGAGCCTCTGTGGTTTGAAGAATTCTGCTGGTATAACGGCGTAAATACTCAGGCCTGCCACGAACAGGGGATTCCTCACGTGCCTTCACAATCAACCTAATGCCAAACAGAGTAGCCCACAAAGTTGCCAGCATCCAAAACAATCGACGGCAACAGTGGAAACTTGGCGCAAGTACGCCATATCTGCCAGGCAGAGGTGATTAACAAAACCATTAGAATAAAGCAAACGCCAGAGTTAAATATTTATATGGCATTTCCAGAATGGGAAGCACTAACGAGCTGCACATTCTTCTCATGCCTTTCCCGGAATACTCAGCAATGGCTAGCAAGTTTACTCACAGTTCACTGACACAGTGACCGTAGTGTGTATGTGTGCGTGCGCATGTGTGCACACATGCATGCACGTGTGTGGAGGCCAGAGGCTGACATCAGGGTCATCCTCTCTCTCTCTCTCTCTCTCTCTCTCTCTCTCTCTCTTTTTTTTTTTTTTTTTTTTTTTTTTTTTTTTTTTTTTTTTTTTTTACACCATATGCTTTGAGAGTCTCTCACTAAAAAGAGAGCTTGCTCTTTTGGCTAGACTGACTGGCTAGTGAGCCTTGGGGTTCTCCCTGCCTCTCTTCCTCCCAGTGCTGGAGTGACAAGCCATGCATGGGTTTTGCACAGGCATTGGGATACTAACTCAGATCCTTACGCTTGCAAAGTGTGAGCCATTTATCTCTTCAGCCCCATTATGTCATTTGCTGAATTAAAGATTGGGGCAGTGTAGTGTAAGAAATATGAACACACCCATGGGGCAGAGGGGAGAGATATTTTGAAATTAATGCCATATTAGATTATCTGGTATGAGGCTTCAGGTGACACTCGGCTTTCTTTTTTTAAAAAAAATTTTTATATTTTATTTTTTTAAATTTATTTATTATGTATACAGTATACATATATACCTGCAGGCCAGAAAAGGGCACCAGATCTCATTACAGATGGCTGTGAGCCACCATGTAGTTGCTGGGAATTGAACTCAGGACCTCTGGATGAACAGCTCTTAACCACTGAGCCATCTCTCCAGTCCCATATATATTTCTTAAAAAGCAACTGTGCCGTTGTTAAATTTTGTTTAGGTTTAATACAAGGACAACGTAAATGTCGAGTGGGATTAAGTAAGAAGTGCATCAATCAGGTCACCTGCCAGATGGAGCGGCGCACACCTGTGACACCAGCACTGAGGAATCTGGGGCAGGAGAATTGAATGGAAATGTGAAGCCAGCTTGGTGAGTTAGTGAAGTACAGGCCAGCCTGAGCAAGAGAGACCCTGGTTCAAAACCGAAGCCTCTCTTCTTAGGGCTGGGGAGATTGTGTTCCTGTGTGTGTGTGTGTGTGTGTGTGTGTGTGTGTGTGTGTGTGTGTGCAGGGTCAAAGGTCAGTCTCAAATGTCATTCCTCAGGGGCTGGCCACCTCATTTTTGGGACAGGTTCTCTCACTGGGACCTGGAGCTTACTGACTGGCAAGGTTGGCTAGCCAGCAAGCCCCAAGGATACACCTGTTTACACCTCTCCAGTGCCAGGATTTCAAGTGTGTGGCACTGTGCCAGTTTTTACGTAAGTTCTGGGAACAAACTCAGGCACTCATGAATGTATGGCAAGCAGTTACAACAGAGCCGTCTCTCCAACTCTTCAACTTTAAATATACCAAACCAATCAACCAAAAACCAACTAACCAAACAAGCAACCCTTGCCCTCCAGGATCTAACGAGCAAACAGTTGCAAAGTGAAGAGCCCCCTCTCCCTCCTTTTCCCAGAATCCTCTCTGCACTTTTCTTTGGTAGTTTAGATAGTCACCTATAGCATTTGCTAATGTAAGCCACACTTTGCTTGGCAGGTATAGAAGAGCGGTTTAAATGTGGGCTCTCTGTCCTATATGGACCGACACTCCAAAGCCCTGTCTCCTTCCCCAAAGCCTTCAGAAGTTGACCTCGGCCAAGCAGAGACCAGAAAAAGTCCCACCATCACCCTCAGTATCTTTGAGTCAGGCATTGGGTGATCCACAGCATCCTACCCAAATGTGAAGGTCCCCACAGGGTGGGGACCCGAGTGTGAGGCCCCCTACAGGCTGGAATTACCTGCCAGGTACTCAATGACGGCGGCCATGTAGACAGGAGCACCAACGCTGATCCGGTACTTGAATGTCCCCTTTTTCAGGTAACGCATCAACCGACCTACTGGAAAGATGACACCGGCCCTGGCTGACCGGGACAGCTTGGACATTTTCTTCTTCCCACTCCGGCCTGACATCTTGCCTCAGTTTCCCTCTCAGCTTGCTGACACACTGGCTTCCTGGCACTTACACAATCCTAGAAAGGAAAGAAGGCAGGGATTGAGGGTGGCTGGGTACATCGGGGGCATATCAGTGGGACCTTAGGACACTTTGTGACTAGTCACCCTGGCTTCCAGCAGAACAAGCTGAAGGCATGAGTTGGACAGGGCCTCTGAAGGGCATCTGCAGTCCCCACACAGGCATCCCTCCCCACAGGGCAGCCCTGAGCTGCAGAGGCCAAACGCTGTCGTTAGAGGCGGAAGTCATGCTCCTTTGTCCAGTCGTGCAGGGCTGTGGGCAAGATGTCATTTCCTTGTCCCCAGAACCTGTGGAGGTTGCTCAGAATAAAAAAGGGATTTTGCAGGCACGATTAAGTTCTTCTTATTAAATACAGATGCTCAAATATTCAAGATTGGCTGTGAATTCCTCATTTTATTGCCTCCACCTCCTAAATGTGGAGATGACAGGAGGTTAGTGGGGAAGGAGAACGGGTTTAAGAAATGGAGCAAATATGATCACAATCCATCCAATACATGTGTAAGATTGTCAAAAACATTTTAAAGATTTATAGAGTTAGGCCTTTATTTTGTAGAACAGGTCTTACCATGAAGTCTAGGCTGACCTAGAACTCACTAAGTAGCTCAGGCTGGCCTTGAGGTAATCCTCCTGCCTTAGCTTTCCAAATGCTAGGATTATAGGTGTGATCCACCACACCTACGCAATGTATCAGTGGTTAAGAGCACTTGGCTGCTCTCTCTCCTAGGACCTAGGTTCAATTTCCAGCTGTTAGGGTAGCAAACAGCTGTATGTAATTCCAATTCCAGAGGATCCAACATCCTCTTCTAGCCTCTGTGGGTACTGTGTATGCACATGATACCATGATACACAGACATACATGCGAGTAATACACTCCATAGATATCACAGGCTGGCCTGGGGTTTTCTATAGAGTCCAAGCTAACCTCAAACTCACGATCCTCCTGCTTCTGCCTCCCCATGGAGGTATAGGCACGTGCCGTAACGCTCAACTCAAGCATCGTTCTTAGCACACGTCATCCCTGAAGTGAATGAAGTGGGTTGGGGGTGATATATTACGTAATTCACCTGCATTATCTTTAAATGTTTATGTGTCGGTACTGATTTCCTGTTTTCTGTGTCATTTTGCCACCAAAAGATGTCACTATTCCTTCCTCAGTGGAATGCAAGCATTAATGGCCCTAGGATATTATCTCTGAAGGTAGGCCACAGGGATAGGTCCATGTGGAGTGTTGAAAATGCCCATGACTTCTGTGTTCGTGCTGTCTGAAGCTGCTGCCCTCACACCTGTCTTGTGAATGCCCTCTGTCCCCAGGGAAGCCAGAACTGCAGACAGGAAATCCCAACATCAAACGAGTTGAGAAGGAGGGGTCAGGAGCCGGGAAATGCAGGGAGCACGCGCTATCACTAGCACTGTCCTAGGAGCTGAGGGGCTCCCAGCAATGTCAAATGTCCCTGTCATCTCACTGAGCACGTGTTAAGTCAGCGGGTGGTGCTCAACTGCACACGCCTCGCAGTGGAGAGGAAAGAGCCCGGAGGGGGAGCAGGAGGCTTTGTGTAACCCTGGGCCATCAGCTCCAGCCGCTGGGGCTTCTTTGTCCAGCAGGGAAGGTGTCTCACGAGCCTCAGGGTCTTTCTTTCACACCTTCTAAGTTTTCTAAAATACACCTTCAAATTGTTTTTGCTCAAGAAGCTTAACCTCTAGATGAGGTCAGCTCTAAAGGGTTCGGAGAGGTTGATGGTGGAAGTGCGTACATGTACCGCCAGCTCTCTGGAGAGAAAGCAGGAGGATTAGGAATTTAAGCCCAGCTTCATTCCTGTGTGTGCGTGCGTGAGTGCCTGTGTGTATGTATATATGTATACATACACACACATATAAATATTATGGAATTCAAAGTTGGTCTGGGCTCCATGGGACCCTGTCTCAATAAAATAAAGTAAAATAAAATAAAATAAAAAAACCAGCCCTCCACACAACAAACACACAAACCACTAAACAGAACTAAACCCTTCCAATCAGTTCAGGGTCAGTTCAGGTTTACAAAGATGCACAGTGAGCCCACTAAGCCAATTACACGCTTTTTAGTCACTGTTACAGGAGCCCCCTGCCCCGCCCCCAAGAGTTAGTAAATGTGGTTGCCAAGGAAACCACCTGAAAGGCCCACCACAGGGTAAATACATCCTGTGGATATGTTGTGTGCCAAACAGACAGGAACACCCCCTCCCTCATACATAAAACACACCATACACACACACACAAACACACACACACACCCATTTCTAACACAAACCAGGACAGTTAGGCTTGCGAAATAACGCTACCCTGGGACTCCCCAGGATGAATTAAGACAAGTCAGACCCTGCCCGAAAATTACCTAAAATTAGAAATTAGGACGGTAATAGCAGCGAGTGACTTTAGGGGTGCTTAAAATACTCACGAAGACAAATTAGCTGGGTAAGGAAAATCAAGGTGAGATGGCCCAGGGACACTGGCTGTGGGTTTCTAAAGGCTCTAAATGCAAGACTTCCTTCTGCAGCTTCAGGCTTCCTGTTGCTGACAGCCTGGCCCAGAGCTGGGGAAGCAGGGCCAGGTGAGGTCTATCTGGGAAATGACCACTTCATGGGGTGATGGCATCACACGCCTTTAATCCCAGTACTTAGGGAGATAGAGGGAGGTGGATCTCTGTGAGTTTGAGGCCAGCCTGGCCTTCAAGCAGCCAGGTGCTCACCTGCAGGGTCCCTGGAATTTTCTAGGGCTGAGACACCCTGCCCATTGCTAGAACCCATGGGTGAAGTGAGGAGGGCTGCTGGGAGCTGAAAGGGTCCCAAGTCCACCAGGAAAGGAAGCCTCTCACCTCCCTACCACTGGAGAGCCCCTAAACCCTGGGACCACCTAGGTGTATCTGTGCTCTGTGTACTCTACAGAGAAATCACCCTAGATTCCTCCTTCCTCAGGTTTCTTCACTCCACTCTGTCTTGGAAGAGGGAGGAGTTCAAAGTTTGAATGAGTTTTGTATCCACAGCTTATGAACTTGAGTCTGGGGTGGGTCTACTGTATACAGCAGCTGTTCTCACCCTGTAGGATGTGACTGCCCCCCAAAAGACCACTGGGAAAACACAGATATTCACACTATGACTCCTAGCAGTAGCGACGTTACAGTTATGACATAAGCGATGAAAATAATGTTATGGTTGGGGAATCAACACAAGACAAAGACTACGTTAAAGGATCGCAGCTTTAGGAGGGTTGAGAATCTCTGGTCTAGGAAGAAAGACCCCCTCCGTGGGAAGGTCCAAGCCCATCTGAGTACTAGTTAATGTTTACCCTTGCTTACCGCCTGCTCGCAGTTTGGCTCCCATCAGGCAGAGCTCCTGGATGACAATCTATGCTGTTTATTTACAAGTTTGAGAGGAAAACCCTGGCTGGCTGGAGCTCACTGTGCGATGATATGGACCTCCCAGGGTCCCCCCGGGGGTCCCATATTCCAGGCTGCACATGGCATCCCTTAACGAACTTCAAGAAAGCCCTGACCTGCAGTTCATCTAGTTGGTCCGCAGCTGAAGGACCCGGGGGCGTATGATCTCATCACAATGGCCCGTTGACCAGGCTAGCTCTAAGTGTACCCATAAGGAACCAGGAAATACCTCCTCAGACTCTTGAAGATCATCACTGGGGCATGCTGGGAAGGGGAGCTGGGAGTCTGCTGTTCTAGGGTCTGGTCTGGGGCCCAGAAGGGCAATTAGATTTTGCAGACAATTAAGGACAGATAATAAATTGCAGCCCTCCCTCGAATACAGGCGATAGACTCTCGCTGGCGTGGTCCACTAACTGCCATATTTCAGGGACTTTACGGCGAACCTTTGTTTTAAGACATTTTTTGTGATGTCTAGAATTGGCATTTGTGGTACAATCTGTGTCGTCAGGGCATCAGTGAGACACGGTCTTACGGGTTGTTATTGAGCAGGAAACCATACAGATATTGTGGCATTTCTATGTCCCTGTCTGTAAAGGAACCATAGTAAAGGTAGTAACTACGCCAAGAACTCGCTCTGGGGCCCTCAGTGAGCTTCCCCCTCTTTCACTGCAGCATTCTGGGAAAGCAGGGGAGCGTTTGATCTCTGTTGGGCCCAATCACTACCAGCTCATGATGGCTGGGGTCTTCAGACTCTCTCCTCTCGCTCTTTCTCTGTCTCTCTCTTCCCTTCTCTTTTGTGTGTAAGGGTGTGCAGCTGTGTGTAACTGTGTACACTGGTCATCTTCCTTCATTACTCCCCACAGCATTTTTTGAGACAGGGTCTCTCACTGAACCTGGAGCTCACTGATAAAGTCAGACTAGCTGGTGGATGAGCCCCAGGGGTCCACCTGTCTCCACTGCCCCAGGGCTGGGATTATCAGCATATACCACTATGCCTGGCTTTTCAAGTGCTAGAGTCGTAACTCAGGTCCTTATGCTTGGGCAGCAAGGATACTACTAATAGTCCTCATGCGGGCCCCAAATGTCTTCCTTCTGATGACACTTGATTGTGGCCAAGTGGGGTTCTTGATGGTTGCTGTAAACCAAAGTTTCTCAACCCGTGGGTCTCGACCCCCACAGGGCTTGCATATCAGATTTTCTGCATATCAGACATTTACATTAGGATTGATAATAGCAGCAACATTACAGTTATGAAGTAGCAATGAAAATAATTTTATGATTGGGGAATCACCACAACGTGAGGAACTTTTATTAAAGGGTCACATCATTAGGACGGTTAGGAACCACTGCTGTAAATAGAACTGCCAGATGAAAGTCAACACATAAAGCAAACGAGGCTGACCGTGTCCAGTCCCATTCCACCTCTCGAGCGCTTGTGCAGCACCCAACAGCTGCACGTGTCTTCTCAGTCACTCACTGTGGCTAGGGCACACAGGCTGATTCAACCACTCAATAAATAGACCCATCAGGCATTTCTCCTGCAATAGTGGCCTCACTGGGACCTCTGGAAGTT